ATTGTCATTGTAGCAGTACAAATTTACAAAATGGAAAGACTTTCTAGTTTATCAAAACAAGGAATGGAAAATTAATAGAACTGCAGTGGCAATGGCCAGTCCCTTTTGTCCAAATCAGGATGGAAGTCATAAAGTAAAGGAATAATAATTATGAACCAATTACTACAGCTGCTTTTATTGATACTTGACAATGTTTATGATAAAAGAACTAGTTACAAAATGAGAATTTAAACTCTCCCCATAACTTTCCCTTTTGAAGATTGGGCTTAAAGTCGCAGGGTTTAAAGAAATAAAGGTTGAAACAGATTCTATCTAATTTTTTCTCTTTCTGTTAAGAGTATTTAATTCTGGTAAATGTTACTTATTTTAGTGTATATTTATGTACTTTCCTGATACTACTAACTAAATAGGAAGCATTATAAGTTTAATATCAGTAACTGTTCACATGCAAAAGATACAAAATACAATATCTGTCTCTAATTACAGTTATTAAAAATGTACTGAAAGCTGCTGCTTCATTGTCCTATCATTTAATCTTGTGACAGTGTGCAAAAAGGTTTGATGAACTAAAAGGCAGTGGAAGTTCACCTGTTGACAACCAGTATAATCCCCTGATGGCCGCTGGTGGGAGTCCTGTGGAAAATTTAGCTACGTACATCAAATCCTCCTTGCTCGATACACAGACAGAGTTTCAGGAGCCTGCTATTGGGCAGGATTCCATTACTATAACTGGTATGTTTTTGGTCATTCTGAAATATATTGGCTTTGATTATAATGAATACGTGCATGCTTCTCTGTCCTGAGTGGTACGTCTGCCCAGGAATAGTAGTTGTTCATTTTTGGGGGAGGAAAAAAAAAAAAAAAAAGCATAAATGTAATGCATACATGAAGTCACTTTGAGTTAGTTTAGATTAAGAATCGATGTTTGTTTGGGTGTTTTTAGTAGCTTGTCCTTCCAAAAGGCCTAAGTCCTTATGCTGAATCCCGTTTAGAGATTTTTGGTGGGGAGAGGAATTCCTCTCCTGTTTCATATCCGTAGTGTTGTACTGTTAAACCTACAGCCATTTGCAATCACATTAAGCTGTGTTACTAAAATAACTAGAAAGTTTTGTGTAGAAAAGCTGCAGAAAGCTAGAAGGTGATCCCTTGAGGTCCAGACCCTTCTCTCCCAGCTAAAAGCCCTGTGTTTGCCATCCTACTCGGTGGCAAGATGGCTACTTCAGAGTTGGAGTGTAGTGTGGCTACTTTTTGATGCAAGACGGTCTTGTGATGACATATAATGTGTCTTAGTCAATTATGTGTCCCACTAATAATTTGGGAGAAGAGGGCCATCCTAATAGTTGTATTTCAATCACAGCACAAGTAAATATTGTTACCATTTCCTTAAGTGCTTCTCCTGTAAGAAGCTGTAATTAACTGTGTGATAGTTATTCTCTGATTTTCATTGTAGACTGAGATGTTTTCAGCACCTTGTAGGACTTCGTAAATGTATTGCATGGGAAATTTGCTTCAGTAACGAGTAAACAATTTCTGTGTTAAAAATTAAGACAACAGTGAAGTGTTTAAACAAAACGTTCTGTGTTATGACGTCCTTCAGTGCTGCAGCTTTCTAGTCACTGGTCTCTTTGCAGAGGAAAAACAGCTATTTGACCTTTGCTGGAGAACAAATAAAATGTTTTTAATAACTCTAAACAAGAGATGATATTTGAAAGCTGTATATGGAGTATCTAGACTGAAAATGCTTCCAATCGGCTTTCAATTATATATTTCTTACATGCATGATGTGGAATAAATGCTTCTTGCACCCACAGGTGTCTACTTATAAGATTAGTAGCTTCCCAGTAGGCAGTTAACAAGCTAACTCTGCTTATAGAACTCTTTAGACAATTAGTGCATGTTTTCTTTTTAACAGTGTAATATGTGTAATAAGTATTAATGCAGTTAAGTACCCTAATGTCTCCTACGGCAAGATTCTAGCCTGAGATTTTTCTCTGTTCTCTTTGTGATTTTGGATAAATAATTTTCCCAGTTTGTATGTAACTTGTTGATATGAAATTAGGATAATTAATCTTTTTCTCACAGGCTTGCGTGAATTCACCCTCTTAATATTTGTGAGGTACTTTTATGTTTCAGAATTAGGGATTTGAAAAAAGATTATTTGTAAATGTGTTTGTTTAATTAATTATTTCCTGGCGGATTTATTCACATCTGCTTGTTGTTATGATCAAGAATTTTGAGCCTGTTTGGATTTGTTTGTAGGCATGAGTAACAGCAAGAAAAAGCAATTGAATCAAATTAATTTTGAGCTGGATTCTGGTTTTGGCTGAGTTATAAAAGCTCATTTATTATTTGCTAATTATAAGGCAAACTGCTGTTAAGTCCCTCTGAATGCATTTTATGACAGTAAACAAGCATATAGGATAGCCTTTTACCCAAAGTATTCATTACTAACTTTCAGAAGTCAACCAATCTATAAGCTTTGAGGGGAAGAAAAAAAAAAGAGGAAGAAATGTATGGTGAAGTTCAGACGTCCCCATTAATTTGGCTGCGTTGCATATTCTTGTCAGCATTATTTCCTTTTCTTTAGTAAATAACTTCACTGTGTTCAAAATAAACTTCTTAATATTTGCAGACAGAACTCTTCAATGTCACTTTTTTCCACAGGCCCTTCCTTTAAAATGCTCGCCTTACCTTGCATTCAAAATCTAGGACTCCCACCGTGGCTGTTTTAATGCTGGCATGGGTCATCTGCCTGCCGTGGAATGGCTGCCCTGAAGGCTGTGGCTGACCCAGCCCCTTCCAAGGCTTTACTAGGTTCTGTCTAGTAAATCTTCCCCTTTTTTAAACTGTGTTCCCTCTATTATGGCCTTACTAAGGCTTAACTGTGCAAGGCCTTAGGCTATATCTTTAGAGAAAATTTTGTTTCTTCTGCCTCTGGTGTGATAACTTTGCTTTCCTGAAGGGCATAACTACTGTGTTCTGAACTGTGTAGAGCTTCCAGATAATTTTTGGTGTCAGTCTGCTGTAGTTATTTAGCCATATGATGAAGAGGTCTATCTTAGTCTTCTTCAGAAGAGTACAGCCTCTTACATTACATGAGAGGGAGAAGATGCTTCTGGAACTCTTTTCCTAGAAATCTAACAGTAGAGAGTAATCATGGAAAATCACAACCTTATGGGCTTTCATCAGTGGAAGACAGATATGTGCCCTTCCATTATTTTAAACAGATAATGATCTTTCTGACTTACAAGCAAGTTTATTGAAGTTTCAGATTGCAGTGATCCATTCATCACAGTTGGAAAAGTTATTCAATGTCTGAATGCTGGGGTTGTCTTAACCCAGAACTCGCTAGATTTGGTGACTAGACCTCCTGGACTTCACTGGGTTTTGTGTCCAGGTTCCGTTGCTCGTAGTGCATTTGTGGACATAACCTATTTGAACTAAAGTGCAGATGTCCTTTTTTCCTGGAATAAGCTACATGATGTAGCTCTAGGACTAGACAAATTTCACAATCTGCTTTCTTTGAGTATTGTTTTATATAATCTGCTGCTTTAAGCCATGTGTTTGAGAAACTTAACAGAAACACATCTTAAGAGACTTCTGTGCTTCTGTTTGGAAGCAACTTATTTCCAAAGCTAACACATTATGGATAAGAAGCAGAGTTAGTCTCCAGTTGCTATATATATCCTGGCACCAAAGCTTCCTGAAAACAGAAGTTTTGATGTGACAGAATCTTAAGACCCACATCCCACAAAGCAGACAAGGAGAGCTAAAGGAATGGATTGCATTCCCAGAAGGAAATGCTGAAGACTGTGTGAATCTTGCTGCTCTGTACTGAGACAGGACCAAGCTGAGTTTGCAGCCAAGTGTCAGGGCAACCCAGAAATGCTGCTGGTCTGAGTTCCCAGTGCATGGCATTCAGAGCAGGAATTTGGATTATCTAGTCACCCTTATGGTAGCAGATTTGTTGCTAGTTGTGTAACATTGCTCCACCATGAGAGCTGTCATTCAGTTGCGTTTCCAAGATGCTGAAGAGCAAAAGGTCAGGGATTTTTGTTCTAACACAGCCTTTTTCCCTTATATTTAAGGAAGGCCCAGCACAACCTCCACAAGGAATTGTTCTTCAGAATCTGAGAAAGATCCTATGCAGAAAGGTGGAGAAAGCACCGCCGAAAGCCAGGGGTAAGATCTTTTTGTGTTATCTAGAGGGTTATAGAACTGACAGAAAGATGTCTAAATTGCTCATACTTTTCTACTATCAGAGAGAAAACAGCTGGGAACATCCTAATAAATGCTGTAAGAAATTTTGAAACCTTACATTGCTACAGAAATACTAGGGGTTGGTTTGAGAATTTCTTATGTGCAACAGGGGTAGCTTGCTTATAGATCTGTCCATAGTGTTCCTCTGAGTGACTGATCACTGCTGTGGCGAGAATGGGAAACATAACCTGATTTTAAAAAGGAATGAAGTAAGATTGATGCTCAATAACACTTTAATTTAAAAAAAAGGTTCTGTGAACATAGATTTCTCCTATGTAAAAGTGGGAAAAGAAAGCCATAAATGAAAAGTGCAAATGAAAAATTTTACTATGAAATGAAATAGCCATGCACATCACAGTTTTTCATACTGTCACATCCTTGTTTTCCATACTATATAAGTATGTATGGAGTAATGTGTGTGTTTGAAACCTAACGGTAACCATCTTTCAGTAGAGGCAGCATTTACTGATTCTAGCTTTGACCTTTTCTTAAGAGGTAGACATTTTAATATACAATAAAACAATATTGATTTCCACAGATGAAAATTGCTATTGTATGCTGTTATTGTCCTTGGTACCTCAGTAACTTAGGCATATATATCTGCCTGTTTTTTCAAGAAAATTTAAAGGGGAGAACAAATAAGTTCTCTGTGTAATTCGGGAAATATTCCACAACAAACTGCTGACAAAACTGGGGACTGGAGCTAGAAAATTCTTTCTCTGGTCCCTTAACTTAACAATTCAATCGCACTGATTATGTGTCAGAGGATACACATCTTTGTTCTTCACCTGACAATGCTATCTGACAATAGTTTGTATTAATAGTTTGTATTAATAAGCTAATAACGGCAATTTGTTTTCCTTCTGTTGATAAAAACCTGTCAGTGACAAGTGTGGTGCAATGTGTGATCCAGATTTGGAGATGAGCTTTTTGTTGATCGGGTTTGGTGTTCTAATTAGCTTACGGTCCTAATTTGTTTTGTGGCTTGTTTTCTTTTTGAGGCCAAATATGGTGATCCATGTGTGTGATGAAGCGAAAAACCTCAAAGAAGATTTTGTGTGTCCTCGAGACCTTTTGATTTCAGAAATGAAGTACTTTGCTGAATATCTGTCAGTGGATGCTCAGCGCTGGGAAGAGGTGGACATTTCAGTGCACTGTGACGTTCACATTTTTGACTGGTTGATAAGATATGTTAAAAGGAATGCTAAAGATTCTGAAGCTAATGAAATGCCCACTTTAGGTAAAAGAATGTAGATTGTTTGTTGTAGGTTCATTATGTTCTGTACTAATGGAAGATTAATATTTTTGATACAGTTAAGCCCCAGTCTCTTTGTTTCCAACTGTTGCACTGAAGCTTGTCATTTGTTAGAAAAGTGTTGCAACAGAGCTCCTCTTGTCATTGTAGCAGATGTCTGATTTGTCAACACTGATCGTTTTGAGGAAACATCCTGATAGTTGAAGCAGTGAAAAAGATCTAACATTTTGGGATCTGGTGTTTTTAATTAAGATTCTTCAGAGCTCTTCTGAACAAGAACAGAGTGGTAGTTTTAAAATACTGATGATTGTTGGGTTTTGTTTTGTTTCCCTTCTGCTCCCTATTGCAATATGTTCTAAAATTTCAATGCAATCTGATACAATGGTAGAAGAACTTTTGCCTTTATGAATTTCAGGCAAGTTTTTAATCTTTTTATGTGTCTTTGCTACCATTTAAAAAAAAATATAAACAAACCAAGAGAATAGAGTTATAACTTGCAATGCAACGGTTATGTAAAGCAGAATCTCAGCTGGGTATGATGGTTACGGGTGGAAGTTAATCTTGTGTAATTGTTTAGTCATTGTATCCCTAGGAAACCACCTTTTCCAGTTCTTGTAAATTCTAGTTTGTTGTAGTTGTACTCTGGCCACCTAAATGATAAACCAAAACTTTGTTTCTTAAGATGGAAAATGCTCTACATATTGGAAGATAGAATGACAGGTTCATTGGTAAAATAATACTTAAAACAGATGCTAAATATGTAGAGGGAGGGATGTGATATGAAATTATTGAAAGAATTCATGTAAAAAAATACCCTTTTTTGTTGCCTTTTAGAACCATCAAACGTCATATCAATTCTTATTTCTTCTGAGTTTTTGAAGATGGATTCATTAGTAAGTATTAAGAAAGAAAGATTCTCTGCCATAAGGGCACAGTTAATTACCAGGTGTCTAACAGCTCATTTGTTATACTTTTGCTGTTACATAAACAAATGATGCAATGAGAACATTCTGAGATTTTTACCACCTTTCTTATTCAGTGCAGTAATCTAATATTTGCAGAATCTCACTGCAAGAAAACTTACAGGATAAATTATTTCTAAATGTGATAGTGGGATCTTGCATTTGCTTTTTGATGAGTGATCTAGAGTAACATCAGTATCTGACTTCTGACAAGTTTCATCAAAAAAGATTATTAAATCAATTAATACCTTTGGTTTTTATTCTTTTTACACAAATGACACTTCTGCAGTTTAGGATCTGCTTCTCCAGCTCTGTATAAGTAATATCTACTGACTTGTTTGTTAAAATGTTTGTCAAAAGTTCTGTCATTGGGGTGACCCACAATTAAATACACAGTAAACATAGCTGTTTAAGTTGAGATCCAGGCGATACTATGTATAATGTGTACTGTGGTTCTCTTGTTACAAGCAATTGGAAGGTACCACTTATTGAAGGTGAAACATTTGTGGAGGGTTTTTTTGGGCCTGTAGAAACCTTTTGGAGGAGAACATAAACTAATTCAGAGCCATGTTAATTCAGAGTCTCCTTTAGACAAATCTGAGACTTGTTTTTTATTTTTAATTTAAACTGAAATAGTTTTCCAAAACACCATACTTTAAAAAATAAAAATCTTGAAGCAATTAGTACATCTTTTGAGATAGCTTTGTCTAGAATTCCTTAACATTATTTTTAATGTTTCTGTTTTTCCTAGGTAGAAAAGTGTATTCATTATTGTCACAAAAATATGAATGCTATTGTAGCCACGCCATGTAACATGAATTGTATCAATGCTAATCTTGTCACGCACATTGCTGATCTCTTCACTCACAATGAAGTAGAAGAGCTGAAGGACAAAAGAGACAAATTTAAGAGGTAACTTTTTGCCCTGTAATACACTACTGAAGTGCTGTTGGGCTATTGGATCATTTTTCAGAACAGCTAAGACACTGTGGGGTTTGAAGTGATATATATACAATTTATATTCTCATATAATGTGTCTTTAACATGGAATATCATTAAGTGACTTCAGAATTTTATATTAAAATTACAAGCAAAAGGAAAGAGCTTTTTATAGGAAACGAGCAAAAGGAAGGGCCACGCTAGGAGTGTGACATGGACAAATTATTCATGAATCCTTGCATGGAAGCCAGGATTAGGGTAAGGAATCTGTTACGGGATGACATGCTCCTAATTCGTAGACAATGGTTTGGCTTCAGCACTCTATGAACTCTGACGTTTAGACATGGAATTTAGGATGGCTGGAAGGCTGAACAGTTGTGATGGAATGCTACTTCATACATAAGGACTCTAGCTTAGTCAGTATCAAGATAAGGGCCAATTGTTGGAGGGCAGACTGGCAAACAAACAAGGTGAAAGTAAGAAAGGGTTTTCATCAGTAGCGATGAAGATATTATAACTTTTAGATTAAAGTTTAGTATAATTTCACAGAAGTATTCTTTACTAAAAGTTTTTTTTAGTCAAGGTAGAAGCTGGCAGTTTATATTGATGAGCAACATAATAAAGGAAAAAAATTAAGGGATCTATTTCCTAATATCTGTGTAAAAATAAGAGATGATCAGGTCAGGAACCAGTTATCCAAACAGATTAGTTTAAAGGAAAATCATACTGAAAGCTAGATTCTGAGAGAAATATGGTGACTCTGCCAATCGTCAGAATATTATTGTTAGTCTCACTAGACATAAAAAAATTTTTCAATTTTTTCTAATGGGTAAGCTGTGTTGCTGTCATTAATAGTAAACTTTTCTGCAAGAAGATTGAGAGACTGTTTGATCCAGAGTACCAAAATCCAGATTCTCGAGGAAATGCAGCAACATTATACAGGTACGGTCTTTTTATACCACTGCTTTAGTTGCAAGGACAGTCCCTGTGTTTTGAAGTCTTGCTCTTACTCCATTATTTTCTTTCTTTCTTTTTAATAATCTAGGTGTTGTTTATGTAAAAAACTGCTAACTAAAGATACAGAAAGAAGAATTCCTTGTGTACCAGGAAAAATCAACATAGATCAACATGGGAATATTGTCTATGTTCATATAAGGTAGTGAATATATATATTAAAAATGTTTCTTCAACTATATGATTTTGGGTGATTTTATAAAATAGTACATGTTTAGGAATTATCAGATACTCGCATTACAAAATGAAGTCATAGATATGTGAAGAACATCTCAATTTCTTATATTACCTAGCAAATAAAAATGGGGCGGGGGCATAATTATGATGTTGTACTTCTGAAATGCATTCAGCAGTGCTGCTACTAAATAGAAAAACTACAGCCATGATTACTGGGAGGGCTATTTTGGGTTGTAGTGCCTTAAATAGAAAATACTCACCTAATTCTTTCATTAAAGGATTTTAAGATACGTGTAGTTGATGACAAATTAAATTAAAGGCTGCATTTCTACAAGGTTTGTTATTGAATGGTAGATCCACCTCTGCCAGCAAAGAAAGGCTAAAGAGTATTTTCTAGACTGATTTTATACTGTCAAATCAAATACTCAGCCTGCTTAAAGACTACTATAATTAAACTTTCCCAGTTATTTTTCTGTTCTAAAGTATTTGTCAGAGGAGCTTTCAGGACCTATTCTATATGTATGCCTGATTCATTTGGCACAAGTGTTTAATTCAATTCTGTCTGTTTGATCCATGTTTGTGAACAGCTGGATTCTTTTCTTAATGAAGATCAGTGTGTGATCAGCTGCAGTTCCCTCCCTCCCAACATGCCCCCTTTAAGGAAGATGATGGGAAATTAGTAACAGGAGACCTTTCTCATCAGATCTATTTCATTCAGAACAATCAAAACACAGTTCAGTATCAGCTCCCAAGGTAACACGTATTTAGTGTTACCTCCCACCAGTAATTCCAAGGTGTGGATTAAGTTCTGCCTAACAGTCTAAATAGAACTGAATCTTGCGACCCTGTCCTAACCTATTAGGATCATTGGTGATTAGCCATGTAAAATTCATTAATTATATTACTTCACTTAAGCTGACTGTATATAGCTGCTATGCAATTCTTAGCATATAAATATGCAGGGTTTTAAAGTTACTCAGAGGATTATTTAGGTTCTAATTATTTGCCTTGTGGTACTTGTGACTGCTTTTCTACACAGAATCTGTTTAGCGCTCCTTAAGTGAAGTGACGCTGGCCACTAATGAACTCGGGCTTATAAGCTAACACGAGTCTATCTTTAATGATTTAAAAATAGATTTTATATTTATTGGTCCTCTAGTGGTGCCTAGAACTACCTTCCAGTTGGCAGTACTGCTCGCAGAGTCTAGGTTAGATGTGTATATATAATAAAAAATGGTTTAGGCCAGGGCTTAAAATTCTGGGAAAACAGTGTCTGCTCTTTTTGAAGATAACACACCTCACTGCAAGTTGCATATTCTCTTCTGAATTCTGAAGACGCATGTGTCATTTTATCACTAGGAAGGAACAAAGTTTGTATTTTTAAGAATAGAAATCTCAGATACTTATATTTGTCAAAAAGACATGGTCTTACATTTTCAAACTTTAATTCTGAACTAATTGCTCTTGTGTTGCAGATACATAGAAACATGTTATGTTGGCTTTTAAAATAAATAAAATAGAATGGCAGTACTTTGCTTCTGTTGCCTAACATATTACTTTAAAGACAGAAAACTGCAATATGACTGAACTTGTATGCATGTGCATGTTTTTATTTCTTCTACTCTGTGTATTGGGTTTCCATGGTTCTCCTGATTTCTGAAAGGCTTGATATTTATCTTAGCTTATAAGTTTGCAGTATATGGAATTGAGATGAATCAAGCTGTAATTCTTTGTTTTTAGTAAATTTAGGATGTTGTAAAAGGGTATATGTATAGGCTCTTCTGTCATGGTCTGTATTTAATAACAATCGTCCCACACTGTATCCTTCCTGTTCTAAACTCTTCTGTAGGCTTTTCACCAGTGGAGGATGTGTCATTCTGCTCCTTCTCCACCTCACCTTGCTGGTGGCAGAATCAAAGCAGAGTTATGACTCTGTATGCAACCTGACCTTTTGCTTTTTCAGAGACAAAACCTGGGAAGTCCACGAGTACTTAATTAGCCTTCATGAGGAATTGAAATCTTGGCGGGATGTTTATTGGCGTCTTTGGGGGACTGTCAATTGGTTGACCTGCTCAAGATGTAACCAAGTTAGTGTATTTTCACTTTCACTTGTTTGTCTGTAGATGGCTTATTGTGGGTGACTTTTGTGGGGTGAGGCAGGGATTAAAGGAGTTTGGAAAATATATGGCAATAAAGCTTGATATACATTCTTTACAGTGCAAAATTTTGACTTCCATAGGTAATCTCACCTCTTGTTATCTCTCTTTTTATTCCAATGTAGTCTTTCCTGTGTACTGAGTTCTCACATTGCCAGTACCATTCTCAGCCAGTTCTTTATCCAGGTGTAGCAAGTGCTCTAGGTTCGACTGGGACAGGAGTATATCCCTGTTGTAACCAAAAAGTACTTCGATTTGATCCTACAACCCTCCCAAAGGTACTTCTAAACTAGCTTACTTTTAAAAGAGCATAAAATGTGGTGGGGGAGCGACCTTGTGTTATGAAAATAGATCTTTTCCAAAATAAGGAGCCTAAATAGTTGCAGTGTCCCAAGGCAGGCTAGGACCTTGGGACACAAGAGTTCAAAAGTTGAACTTTTGTTATTGTGCTTAGTGAAACCAGTTCTTCCCTTTAACTCAAGTATTTGATCTTTTGTGTATATGTATCGCAGGGCTGCAAAGTGAGGGATCATATGGTTGATTTACCTTCAGGAAAAGAAGATGGGGATGCTTTGCCATCTCAAACTACTAAAATATTGAATGATCTGCTTCATCATAGAGATGTTATTGTTGTTCCTTTCACTAAGGATGAGAATAGGTAAGAACATTGTATCGAGTTACTGAAATAGCTTAGCCTTCAGCACTTAACACCTGTGCATGTTACGTTTGATTTCTCTCCCATTTTAAAATGAGACATAGGACTTTTTAAAGGTAACTTATTTTTGATTGTTTAATTGGATATTTGGAAGAGAAGAACAAGTACTTTTTCCTTTTACATTTCAGTCAGGCATTTAGTCATTCATCCTCCATAAGCGTTTGCTCCTATCTTTATATTTTAATGGATTGTTATCAAAATATTGTGTGCCTGACTTGGAGGTCTGTCTTCTGTCTTGGTAAGTGATGAGTAAAGACAGACTGATTCTCAAGTTGTGAAACAGAAAAGTTTATTTTCGTTTCACATCTTTCTCTTAAGTGATTCTGGCATTGGGCTCTGTGATGAAGAAGGCATTGAATGTGATGTGCTTGCAGAACCAAATACGCCATGGGGTCCCAAAACTGGAGAAATCAATGCTGTGAGTGCTAATGTTTTTTTTTTTCCCTTTTTTTCCTGATAATGAGGATTCTTACAAGGGTACTTTGAAGAATTCATTAGACAACTTTTAATAAAAACAAAACCCATACATTGTTGGAGGAAGAAGCGTGCTGTTGAGCATTGCAGGGTAGCATAGGCTAATGTAGGTACAAAATATCTGGTTGGTGAAAATGCAGAACTTTTACTATCTCTGCTGGAAATATTTCTGTATATCAGAGGCAATTCTCTGTATGTCTACGCTTTCCACCCCATTCTTAAACTGATGATATTTAAGGATCCAGTCATACGTCACATGGCAAATATTTAAATAATTGCTGCCTTTGTTTTGTCTGCTGATGTACCTGGGTATGTCCACGTGATTTTTTGAAAGTCCGTAAATGAAAAGCAGTAACTTGGCCTGTGTTTTGGTTGGGATTTTTGGTGGTTTTTTTTGCATTCCCCAACCTGCCACCCTCACCCACTAAGATGTGAAAGATTTTACTTTCTCGAACTATGAGGCATGTATGTTACTATGTATATGTCAGGTCAACAGAGATACTTTCTAAGGCAAGTTTAAGGAGACTGTTTATAATAACGCCTCTGGTTTAAAGAGAGCTTTCATGAAAAGATAAGTTTTTGAAGTTCTGCACCCATTGTGGAACTTCTGGTAACTCAACGATCCTGATGGTAGCACAATGCTGCTGATTCCATAAGAATTTCAAACAGAGTATCAGAAGCTCTCCTGCAATAGATGCGGGAGGCTATTAAACTCCTTAACAATCTGGTACATAACTGCCCGCCCTGTCCTGGACTGCTTTTTTGATTAAAATCAGCTGTAAATATTTTTAGTGCTAAGGTTAGGCACATTAAAACATGACTTTGAATTCACTGTATTTAATCAGTCAGTGATTTACAACTTGTTTGAGGTTAGTCATTCCACCAAAATTTATAGTTAAAGATGGGAGCAGGCCTTCTAGGAGTTACCAGTGTAGATTGCTGTGCTATAATATACCACTTCTATTTTTAGAATTCCATTCACTTTTTTTTAATTCTAATTATTATTAAGTTCTTTAACTTGTATGCCTTTCTTTCTGTGACTACAGTTTCTTTCTCTGAAGAACTGGACTTTGCAACTGGTTAGTAAAATATTTTGTTCATTTTAAATATTTGCTCTTCTGCACAGGCATAGAACTAGCTTTGATTTTTGCCTTATTTTCTAATTAATTTGGCAGAAAATGTATTTTCTTTTGCTTTAATTTAGAGGTTGCAATATAGCAACCGTTTTTTCAAGAAAGTATAAAGCATGTGTGAAGTACTACTTTGGCCAGAATAAATTCCTTTTAAATGTTTTTATAAATGACAACAAACAATAGACCAGCACTGCATGCATAAGTTCTTAATGATTCGTTAGTCTGACAGAAATGTATATCGTTAAACCCAGAGTTTTTGAGTGTCTGTCTCTCTGATGGCTTGTCTGCGATGCGTCATGTCTTCTTTATGCTGCTGCTTCATTGCAAAAAGCTTTTATCAGAGTTGAGGGCCTAGCCAAATGCAGAGAATGGGGAATCATTCTTCCAGTAGCACAGGGTGTCACATGATTTACTATTTTTGTATGTAAATGCTAGAGAGCAGCTGCTTACCTCTGTCAGTTTTGAGGATTTTTTTCACAGTCTGGTGTTCCTAATGTCCTATAGTAACAGTATTCTTGCAAAAACGTGATTCGTAAAGTTTTTGAACTTGCAGTCCATGTTAAGCTTCATCATTTCTCATGGATGTTACTAGGCGCTCATTATCAGTTACTTTAGAAGATACATGTGTATATTTAAGCAATGCAAACATCACATTCTTTAATATTTTCATTATTCTGTGCTGATCAGTTAGGAACTATTCACTGTGACCCCATCTGTTGTGATATTGGAGCCCGTAGGTCATGATGATGTACAAGAGATAAAAGGAAAAAAAATTTAGGTATTGGGCTGAGTTCACAAAAAAAGCCAACCAGATATTCCAGACCAACTTGCAATAAATTATTAATGCAGATAGCTCTGGTGTACATAATCTGTGTGTATTTGTAGTGCACTGCGATATAGATGCTTTGTGGTATTTAATTACTGAGTATCTCAGCAATTTCAGGCAGTTTGCAAGATCAGCAAGCCTCAATAGAACCATTCTTAAAGTTGTAGTTTCCTGTAGTCTATGATTACGTGGCTAGCTCAGACATTTGCTACCATAACATAAATTTTCTTATTCATTAGAAAAATAGTATAGCCAGTGATACATTGGGTATTAAACACTGAATCATACAATAATACAGGTTGGAAGAGATCTCTGGTGATCACATTATGTATTTCCTCCACCTCTCAAGGCAGGGCCAACTTCAAAGTTAGATTTGACTTGGAAGCTATATTGCTTTGCTCAGGGTCATATCTAGTCAAATCTTGAGTATCTCTGAAGACAAAGATTCTACAGCCTCTCTGGGCAACCTCTTCCAATGTTTGACCACTTGGAAGAAACATAAATAAATATATTTATCAAAACGTTCTAAGCAAAGATTTGAAATTACTTTCTCAACATTTGGGAATCGCATTCTTAGACTTAACTGTGCACAGAGTTACGTTACGAAGATATGGATCTACATTGGAAGTCAGCTCCTTCAAGATAGATTTAATGTCTCATTTAATAGGAATCAAGCCTCACTTATAATCTGTGGCACTCTCCTCCTTTTAAATAGAAACAGCAGTCATTGTTATCTGAAGAAGAGGAGTATACCACTGGCTCAGAGGTCACTGAGGATGAAGTGGGAGATGAAGAAGAAGTATGCAGGAAACCAGGTACAACAAGTCTCTACAGTCATCCTCCCTGGAATTTAGAGATAGGGATTCGAGGCAGCAGAATTGTTCTGTAAGCAAATTTCAAACATCAGACGTTTTTAAAATAAAAACTAATGTTACTTGAATTTTATTTCTAGTTTGTGTTTAGATAAAAATTACCCTACTCCTCAGTGCCATCAAAAATCACTGGCAAATGAGGAAAGCTACAGCTGTTCACATCTGAGATGTCCTCAGCATTGATCAAGGGCATATTTTGCAGGAAACATTATCAAATGACTTTTAGGAAGTTTTGCATAGATGAATGTCAGAAGAAAAAGCGGTAGCTACACAACTATATTTTTGCATGCATTTTTCGCAGAATATTCTTCTGGTTACATAGCGGAATTACTGGTGAATGTGGCTAGAATTGTGTCTGCATTGAAGATGAGCTCTGTGTGATCTAAGAGATTTTTGTTGGTTTTGTTGGGGGGGAGGGGTGTTTGGTTTGGGGTTTTTTTTTAATATGGTAAGGGATTTAGGAACATGGAAAGCCAAAAAGCAGCTCCTCCTTTCCATCCTATTCATGAGTCATTTGAACACAGGCAGTTCTTTGTTCTTTTTGTCTTGACTCAAAGGGATTGGAGTGTACCACTTTGGGGGGAAAAAAAAAAAACCTGAAAAATTTTGTAGTTTAAATTCAAACTTGTTTGGTCTGATATCATTCAGAATTTGTTGATTGAAGATTGAATATGGTGAAAGATGTAGCTTGTATCTGCACTTAGTTTTAACTTTACAACAGAAAAATTGTGCTGTTATGTGTAACCACTCTGCATTTTAAATACGTACTTGAGATCCTGTGCACTTCTCATAGAAAAGCATTTGAGTAATCTGTGTGTATTAGCATGCCTGCAACAGTAACAAAAGGAAAATATCCTGTTTGTTTACTCTGTTTGTAAAGGAACAGAGGGGAAAAAATTCTTCTGTAGCTGTGTAGTTGAGAAATTACAAGTATCTGTGATGGTATGAATAGGTATTTCTTCAATTAGCAGGGAGAAAGGAGAAATTAAAGAAATCCTACAAGCACCCAAAGAAAGTGATTTCTTCACCTAGTATTCAGAAAAAGGAGAAGCCGTCTGATAAGGTAAAATTATAGCTGTGAAGTCAGCCTCTCTGGTTGGATTGGATAATGAGGGATTCTCTTAAGTTTTGGACTTGATCTTAAACCGTACTTAATGTGTTTTTCTTTCTTTGATAGTCAAGTTCCCGAGATGCATCTCCATTCGTGTAAGTCATCTTCGAAGTCCTTGAGAACATATTCTAGTATATCCCTTTTTGTAAATGTTACTGATAACGTGGTGTGCGTCTGTCTTTTCTAACCAGTGTGAGTATGCAGCAGAACAAATGGGATGCCTCAAGGTCACTGAGATTCAACCAAGATGCCCAAAGAGAAGATGGTCTGTTCTTGCATGAGTTTAGCTTTCATAAAGTTAATATTATGCAAAGACAGTTATTTTTTCATATAAGAAATGGCTAATTTTCTTAAAATGTAGCTACTTAGAAACCTTGAAGTTGAATTTAATCTCATATATAGCAATGAGGTTTTGGGTGGGGTTTTTTTTGTAGTTGCTCCTCACTTGGAAAAGAACAGATTTCAATGAGACTAATCATTAGTAATCAGCTGTATCCAAACCACACAGTAATCTCAGACTCTTGCAACCTGTACAAAGGTATTCGTACATCTAAGAACTCCTTTTGAAAATGTTACTTTAGGATTTGATTGGCATTTATTAGCAATCTCAGCTATTCTACAGGAGAAAAAATGGTTGTGGTAGGAAAATTGAAAGAAAATTCACCATATAAAACTATGCATTGTAGTCTAGATTGAAAAATAAATGGGCACCATTGGGCCTACTGTCTTGGAAAATATTACAAAGGAGCTCAAAGTTTGCAGGAGAAAAAGAAAAAATGCATTATGAGTATATGTTAGCGTGGTTTCTGTTCTTTATTTGGAATTTCAGCACACAACCTACGGAGAGGATAGTTGTGTCATTTGTTGACTATATAAGTATGCAAATAATTTTTCCTGCATCCCTGTGCCATTTGTTGTCTGTGCAGATGAACAGAGATAAATGTTCACTTCTATGTCTTTTCCCAGTCTTTCTGACTAAAAATATTCAGAATTCTATTAGTTTGTTCCACCTTTCTTAATATCTCCTGAGACTCCTGTGCATTTTTGCTGTTTTGAAAACCTCTGCCTCAAAACCATTCCCATAGATTTTTTTGATCTCAATGTAATGCCTCAGGCTGATTCTGGTATCTGCCAAGAACACTGCTGAAGCTACATTATGTGTCAGGATGTAGGATCTTGGTTGCTCAAGATTTTTGTATGAGCTGAAAAGAAAGCTAATTTTACAAATACAGTATCACTGAAGTGTGCATCTAATTCTTCTCTCTTTGTAATCAGTAGCAAGGAAAACCTCTATTCTAAGTATTCTTTCTCATTTCTGACAGATCAGAGAAGAATGTCTGAGATTACAGGGCACTTAATAAAAATGAGACTGGGAGACCTTGATCGAGTCAAGTCAAAAGACAGCAAAGAAGTAAGATTTGTCCCCTCACAATGTAGTGTTTACAGAATTGAAGTGAGCCTTGGCTAACAAAAATATGTAACACAAATGAAAAAAGCATCTGTTCAATGCTTAAGCTAAAGAACTGCATTTTATCAATCTTCATTTTGTTCCAAGCATGATTTTTTGGGGAAAATAGTTTAAAGTAATATTTAAAGTTTACTGCCTTTAAAAACTGGGCATGGAAAATAGAATGGGTTTAAAAGGTTTCAGTACTAGGTTGTGATAATGAAACAAAGTATACCGTAGGTTCTGCTGAATATTAGTGATTTTTATGAAAAGTCACTGATTAAATTGGAATAATGTCAAAAACTTGATATTTTTGTTTTGTTTTGCTTTTGTTTTTTTCTTCTGGATTCCAGTACGCAGGAGGCATTTATTCTAGACTTGAAGCTCAGATAAAAGCCTCAGCGCAGGTCAGTGCACGACAAAACAATGCTGAGAAGAATGTCAGGTAAGATTTTTAAATAAAAGGAAAAAAGCAGTACATGGATTTCAGACGGGGGGTGGTGGGTGTTCAACGAAAACCATGCCTCGTTTCATACACTTATTTGAATCAGCATCCCTTCCAGCAGGTTAACTGTATATGGTGTGAAAGCTTCCTTTGTCAAATAAAGCTAGAGCTAAGAGAATGAAACTCTTGTACCCATGCTGGAAGAACTGCTTTATAGCTTCTACGTTAGAAGGTTGACTACTGCTCCAATATAATTTTTTTTGAAATTATAAATAACTGGAAAAGTGTTAGTTAAGATTCTTTAGCCTATTCTTTGGCCTCTTTCCAAAAACAAAACCAAACACACACACACACACCCCACACCCCCCTCCCCGACACCAAAAACCTACGTTACTGCATATTGGTCTTCTACACCTTAAGTGGATAAAACAAGAATGAACTGAGAAGCTGGCTCACTGTAGAAGTGGTCATAATTTGGCCAGCAGGTGAGCCTCTTGAGCTGAAGCTTATAGTGGAGTTGCTGGCTGACTTTTAAGGGATGGGCTGGAAGCTTTAAGCACGTTGTCAGAGGAATTTCTCACAGGTCTTATTTCTGTCAAAAAATGCACGTGACTGACTTTCTGTAGAATTAGTGATTTCAAAAGAAGATATTTGACATCACGGTTCTTTCAGCTGTGTACCTTTGTATGAATATGTAGTTTGTGGGTACAGGTATCCTGGCAGAAAGGCAACTTTCTCAATAATGGATTTTGAGTGAGATTCCCGCTCCCCACCGCCCCCCCTCCCCCCGCCCTTGTCTCAGAAGACATTTTAACATGAAAGTAATTTCAAACAAATACTCTACTAGAGCTGACTGGACATCACTTAAAATTCTAGCAGTAATAATGTACATATGTTTCTTATGTGTTCTTAATCCAGGTCAAAATCCCGTTTTGGTCAAGGCCGTCCAACATAAAAACTCATGAAAAAACGTTAGCCAGAATTCATTACTGCTTCCTGAAACTGTACTGCAGTCTTACGTATGGAGAATGCACATCTCTGAAAGCTTTTCAGTGACTTATTTATTACTTTAAGCTTTGTAAATTATTTTGTGCGATAAAGGAATGCAAATCCAATAAGGTCTGTACTTATTTTAATTGTAAATATACTATTTCTTAAATTTAAATTTAATTGCTTTTTTTAGGCTATTGTGTTAAGTTGCATAGAAAATATTTTATAAATCTACAAAGTTAAAATATCAGACTAACTTTATTTATGGAGGAAGACATAAATATGCCTTTTAGTATGCTAGAAATACTGAAAAGGAAAAAGCAAGACTTCTGAATTGTGAATACTGTCAGCAGCATTAACACAAGTCGCCTAGTGTATTTATACCGTGTAGTATTCGATGGTACATTTTAGGTCAGTCCTCTGGGGATTTGCATTTACAGTCCGTGACAATACGTGTGACTTAGACTAGTTTAAGCAAAATTTTAATGCGGTTCTGAGGCTTCCTTCTGTATATCACACAACTTCTACTTGTGTGAAGGTGGGTAACAGGTAGAGACTAGACCTCCAAAGATTATATAAATGCCCTGATGATGCAGTATTGCATCTTGCACATGAAACGCTTGCTTTACTTGTATGTGAAATTAATACTTGTTCCCATTCCATATCTGGCTCCTCTTGCACAATAGAGTTTTGTTCCCTTCTAATATCTAGACCTTAGGATGCAAAGCAGTTCTCTCTCTTAATCACGCTATGCCACTAAATTTCCGAGCAGTTATGCTATTAATTCTGCATCTTTCAACAGAGATGTATCATTATGAAGATTTGTGCATGTGGATCTTTTGGGTCTAGTTACTTTCTGAAGCCCACCTGAATAATACTGTTTAGAAGTCAGATGCACTTTCAAGGTCTGTATTTGGAGCAATAGAATACAAGTTTGTCTACATGTAAAATCCAGGGTTTACCAAAATGAAGTAACTTGCCTAGAAAATATGTTGCATTTTAGCAAAGAAAATGGCAATAATGGCAATAATAATGGCTGAATTCAAGTAAACACATTCTGACTTTTTGAAACAGGTGGAAAGAGCACTCAGGGAAAGCTTATTCCAGGCCACAGCTGTACAATAAATTGTGAGTTTGGATTTAAGTCAGCAAGATCCTGGATGGGAGGGTGGGATGGGGTAAGGAGAAGGAGATGGTTGTTTAAATGCACTCTTCTCTCCATTCAGGCTTTTTTTGTTTGTCTTGTTTCTTGAGGATTTTCAGTAGGCATTAGAAGGCTAGCATAGCAATACTTGAAAATGCTGCTTTCAAGGTGGAAGATTTTTATTGAAACAAAAATGAATGTTGTTTATTGGCGTTTTGTCCAATGCTATAGCAAATTCAGAGCCCAATGAAACCAACAGGCAAAACTGGATTTCAATGGCTTTGATTTCGGGCAGGAGTGGTAACTTTGCTAGAGTGCTTTAATCTGTATCAAATACATAAGGCTTTATTAATGCCTCAGGCCTGTTTGCAAGTAGTAATGCAGTTTTAAGCACTTATAGTAAACGTTGGAAAACTGATTGTTGTTTATTGAAAGAGAAAGTATTATAAAATCCACCGGGTGTGAAAATGCAGTAGAATAAGTGTTTTGCCACAATTTTGTGACTTCTGATAGAGGATTGTTCCAAATTCCCATGGTAAACTTTGCTATGAAAATTGCAGGCTGCATGTATGTGTGTTTAGTTTTCATAGATCTACTGCCTAGAAGGGAAAATTCTGCTGGTTTTCTTCTGTGGGAAGGTGCCAGTTCTATGTGCCGATATTGTTTTATTCAAAAATATTTTTGAGCATATAATAACACACATGATGTGCAGTCTCTCTTTTTTTGCCAACCACCTTGAATTTTTATCTTGTGTTAATTTTGAAAATTTGTTTTTGTTTAATGGAAATAAATGTTATTAATTTAAGAAGTGTGTGAGTTTTTTTATAGATACTTGTAAGAACTAAGTAAGTGCATAGATGTTGTTTGATGGTCTCGATCATGCATGTGTATTTGTGATTAAATTGCAGCATCATGGTGCAGCTTTTTATCTGTCAAGAACAGGATATCATTGAATGCAGAGCTACTCCAAATCTAGGGGAACTTAAAAGAATTTTTATCGGCATTGAGTTTTGAAGCTGGATTAAAAGTTCATGAGTGAGCTGCCCTACAAGTGACCCAAGTATGCAAAATGTCAACCTAAGCTGTGTTAAAAACATGTTTAACTTTGCCTTCCACTGCCACAGTGCTGATCATACTGTTTAAACAGTGTGTTACATCTATGAATGGGATTAGTTTCCATGATTCTGTTTTTAGAAATTGGTATATGGATGTCCTGTATAAGTGCAGTTGGTGTACTGGGAAGGCTACGGTGTACGTCCTACTGTCACTTGTGTGTTTAAACTAACTTGCTGCACTGTGGAGTTGTGCCTGTTTGCTTGATGTCCAGAAATCTTGGAGAAGGGGCCCGAATTTTAAATTCAGTAATGGCTCCAAGAGAAGATGATGACATGTTTGGAGAATTGCGGACATATGGTTGCCGCAGTCTGTAAACATAAAACTATGAATAGCATGGGCATATTTGAGGTGACTGCGAGGACACTTCTCTTTGCCGGAAAGGAATCGATTTTTTTCAAAATGTTGTTTCCTGTTCTTGATGAGTGTATGGACATACCGTATTGTGGTGGCAAACCGTGCCTGTGCATCAGATGCTTGCTTGAGCCATTACATGAAGTTCCCTGCTTCTGTTTAGGCACCTTCCTCTCCACTCTAGGCAAATGTTAAGCCTTAGGTTATCATTAACATCGAAGAGAGCAGTATACATAGATGTATACTGAAGACATTCCTCCTGCAGCTGTTCTTGGTGAAATCTAATCTGTATGAACTGTACCACTGTGTTATGAGGGGTTTTTTTTCTCTATTTCTTAATAATTAGGAAGTAAAGACAACTGCACTCATGTTCAATTTATCTTACTACAGGAATAGATTTATTGTTGAATTCCCTATTGGCTATATCTATAAATAAAACTAGCCAAAGGCTTTTCCAGGCTTGAGGCCAAGTGACAGCACAGAATGGCTGTGTCCCCGAGGTTAATGTCTCGTCCTGTCTTTCAGCATCATGATGGTGGAGGTTGATGGAGCCATCAGCCAGTCTGAAGGCTGGAGCAACTGACAGAAAGTTGCATAGGACTGCGTGAGCCCCTCTACTTTGGGAATCACAAGGGCTTTCAATACTAATTTGATAGGTGCTGCTGCTGTTGCAAGTGGGCAGAATCCTCAGTTTGGAGAGGACTCTGCAATCCTGCACAGCCCTTAGTAGACGCCTGTCGCTTCTCAGTCTGGCGTGGGAGAAGTGTGTGTCCTGCCATTTTCCATTGTTGTGCCCTGTGTGCTCAGCAAGCAACACTGTCCTCAGTGACACAGCTGGTTGTTGGGCTGATATATTCTGGTTAATGGTGTGCAATGTCAGTTGAAAAAGTTCCTGATTCTAGCACCCCCACCCTTGCTGGGTTGTATTCCTGCCTGTTCTATAGCTTATTTGGTGTTATAAATCATCTCACTTAAATGCACATCTCCATACTCCTCTTGCCCTGCGTGCTAAGTATAGAAAACAAATGAGCTTCATCTGAACTTTGCTCTGGGCCTGATTCCATTATGGGACACAGGTGACAACGGCTGAGACTGTTATGATGCTTCTCTTTGTCTGGGCTTGGAGTGCTGATCCCTGAGAACAACAACCAAGCAGGAAGGAAGAATCCTGTATGGCAGTCTTGGACTAGGACCCTCCCAGCTAAACAGCAGCTTATAAAGAGTGGATAACAGCGTTGTGCTGCATCCAAGCAGCAGTTTTCATTCTACACCTGCCTGTAGGTGACCTTTAACTTAGATTTGGTTTTGCACTGGGTTTGTGTACACTAGTGGCCTACCTCCTTCAGCTTCTAAGCTGCTTCCCCATAGATAATGAGGGAGATCTTTCTGGAGTTTTATCCCCTAAGATCTCATACCACTTCTCATCACTGAGCTTCCAGCTCCCTGGGATGCCTCTTGCTCACGGAGGTCCCAGAAAATGTTAAAACTGCTTTACCTTCACTGTGATTTGGAATATAGATCTTCATTAGTGGATTAAGATTCCAGCACATAAATATTTCCAGTGGTCAAGGGGATTGGTGCTAGAAGAACTTTTTGGTACAAATATCAGCTTATATAGCCTCTGGCCTGACTGTGATAGCACAAAGGTGTGTGATGCTGTTGAGTGAACAAGATCAGGAAATGTCTCTTTTTTTTCTTCTTCCCAGGAGGTATTTTGTGTAGAGATCTGTCTTCTGTATTTTGCCACATAAACTTGCTAAGGCCCAGTCATCATGGACACAGGGAACAATCGAGCAGGGGAGGAAAAATAACTGACGGAGATTGGCATTATTACTAAAGCCACTGAATGCATAATCATGGCTGGATGTGGCCTTTGTTCAAAAGAGATGGTGCCCATGATTGAACTTCTTTTAGTATTTTTTTTTAATCGCTTCTGCTTGCATTGCTCCCACATTTCCATTTCAATTATTTAGGGCTAGGAAAGCACAATGATAATTTTATTTTTAGTTGTTATATCCAATTTTATTATATTTTGCATTTTCATTCAAACTATAGTAATTACTTTAGTAACCATGGTGACAAAACATGCTAGCATAAACATGAAAAGATCTTGATCTGACAGCAGTTTCCTTACTGCATAATCAGTTGCTCCTTTGAGTTAAAGGTATATTTAAGTCCAAATGATTGAAACAAACTGCATTATTAGCTGTATCATCTGTAGTCTTTGAATGTTCTCCGCAAGATTTTAGCATTATTTTTTTTTGAGGAACCTTCGTTGAAGTAAACTGTTTTAACTGCCTGCTAAACCTATTTTCAGTGTATACTATCTGTAAAACACTAGGCACACTTCAGAG